GCTATATTAGCGGCGTTCAGTGCTGTCTGTCCGATTTCCCCATTTCGACCAAAAGACCACTAGATGTCATCGAGATCACTATACATGATTGATACCAGGAAAACCATACCAGTTCGACTGCTCACGCAAATCCCTCAAACGCCAAATAGTGAAGAGTCTGAGGAAAGTCGACAGCTCTGGTAGACATCGAAAGCTCGGGAGATGGAGGCTTTTGCTACAGGAAACAGCCGTGCCCTTTATCAACTGATGCGATCGACTGGCCCTAGGAAAAAACGGTCAGTAAAACAACAAGTGAAAAAGACGGCTCGTTAATTCACTCGCAAAAACGTCGACTGGAGAGATGGGCCGAACAATTCGAAGAGCAGTTCAGCTGGCTTCCTGCAACACAGCCTGAGGAGATAATGCATATGAGCGAATGGAATGTTAAACTTGATCGCCATTCGGAAGAAATAAGGTACGAAATATCCGTGCTAAAACGTGAGAAGGTACCAGGATCGGACGGTCTGTATCCATCCCTCTTCAAAGAAGGCGGAAAATCTCTGGTGACCCGTCTGACAAAGCCTATTAGTACCATATGAAACGAAGAGAAGGTGGCTGCAGAATGGAGCATGTCCACAGTTACCCCTGTCTTCGTGGTCGCTGTGTCAAAACCACCTTCGCATCAGCCTGTTAGCTGTGGCATCGAAGGTGCTCTACCACCTTATTTATCGAAGGTTGACTGAACACAGGGAGACACAGGTCAGCGAAAACTAAGCCGGGTTCCGTCCTGCAAGAGGTTGCAGCGATCATACCTTCATCCTCCGACAGATTCTGGAACAGCGACACTGCTTCCAGCAGCCAACAATGATTATGTTTCTTGATCTGAAGGCTGCTTTTGACTCTGTGGACCGCCAAGCATCATGACAGTGTCTGTGGGCCCGAACCCTAGCCTCATGCTTGCGGATGAATCGATTGAGGTGGTAGTAGATAAATTTGTTTATCTGGGCAGCTGTATCAGTCCCGGTGGTCTCGCAAAAGGTGATATTTCCATCCAGATTGGGAAGGTCAGAGCAGCTTTCGCGAACCTACGTCACCTGTGGCGTAGGCGAGACATCAGCTTCTCTGTCAAGGGTCGAGTTTACAATGCTGCGGTGCACTCCATATTACTATATGGATCAGAAACCTGGCCACTGCGCGCCGAGGACGTCAAAAGACTTTGAGAGTTTGACCATCGATGTCTTCGGAGCATTGCCCGAAACTGATGGGAACACCGGATCAGCAATTCTGAAGTAGCTCGAATGGTATTCGGGAGAAATAACTCACCCTCGATAGATGAACTGATCACACTGCATAGGTTGCGCTGGCTTGGCCACGTGCTGCGTATGCCAGTCGACCAACTTCCTTGAAGGTCTGTTTTCGTACAACCACGTGAAGGGTCGAAGAGAGCCAGAGGCGGTCAAACAATGACTTGGAAGCGAAGTGTGAAGGCCATTACCACCAAACTCAGATGCGCTGATTATTGTCGTCTTTCTGGATGGGGACCCCGAGGCGGGCCACATCAATGGCTAGAGAGATTGTCAGACATGGCTCAGTCGCGCCCTCAATGGCGCTCGTGCATCCAAGCTATTGCCTTCAATGCATAGCTCCTTTTTCAACCCAACCCACTTAACAGTTCACTGACAGTGCTGTGTTTACGCGCCAATTTTTCAGCTCCCGCCTCAAGTGCGCAGCTACCTACCCCACCTACTCGAATCATCGGTGAACGAAACTGTGGTAGCTACAACCACTGTACGACAAGTACGCGGTTATTACAACTGACAATGATGATGATGAATATTGAACCAATGAGATGATACTGTGGCTTTTTGTACATCCCTTATCCGTTGTTATCGAATGAACTAGTGAAAGTTTTATCCGGATCACGCACTACTGGAACTAGGATAAAACCAAAGATTTCAACATGTATGGATGAAAGTAGCAAGCGTACGTGGATCGATTGACCCATGGATAATCGACAGATCCGATTGACTTATATGCCTTTAGTAAGGATGCTGTGAGTTGAAACCAGCAAATTCTGTGTTGCAACTTGGAGAGGCTAGGTGCCATCCTGGTGGAAGATTATTACAAAGGGAGATTAGAATTTGATCCGGGAGAAGTTATCCACCATATAAAAATGGAATGTTCAGCACCATTTTCGGACAAATCTATTGTAAAACGTCAGAGATTTTGATACCGCATTTTTGATGAAACAGCATTCTTTTGTCTAGAGAGAATGTGTGGGCATTCTCTGTTGAAGCGGTGTTTGAGCACATAAGATTTCATTGACGTAAATAAGTCCTAAGATCTTGTGGACTGCTGGCTACATCGAAGTCATTCCAAATGAATGATATTTTCCTCAAATTCAATTCATTCACAAAAGCACACAATATAGTGCACTAGAATCGAGCCCCAACAAGGCTTTCCAGGAATCGGAGATTCGTATGGCCCAGTCGCTTCTGCTCGGATTGTAGGCATTTAACACTGTTAGCTTGAAGGGACAGATAGACTACCTAAAACTGTTTGCATGACAGGAAGACATACGACAGCCACGATGGAAACTCCCCTCAACGATACGTAAGTGAATGAGTATTTACAACGCCCCGAAAAGTATTCTTATCAGTACTATGCCAAGATGAGCTCGGTTACCGCCAAAATAGCTACATATGGAGTGGCTGGTATCAATTCTCCGAATAGAAAATATGTCCTTTCAAGCGCCACTTGCCTTGGCTCTTGGTCCCTGAAGTGGTCAAGTAGCGAATCAAGGACATGTAGTTTAGAAAAGGGGATGGGCTTCCCCACTGTCCTGATGTTGAAGGACTTTGATATAGACAAATGCAACTAACAACCTATTTTGACCGTACGCAGATTAAACGTAATGTATTAAAATGGACAACTAGCTGGGCAATAAGTTTAGAAGGACAAAGGCGTATTGATCACTCAAACGATGGAAACATTCAAACATAATATCGTGCTTGCATTTCATAAAGGAACACCATCAAACGTAAGTCTTGGATTGGGTCAAGTTTAGCCGACAGAAGGTGCTTTCGCACAAAACCAACTAATGATAATGCAGCCGAAGCTTACTTTAGGGACAATGCTTTAAAATCTTCAGTTCAAGAACGAACTACGCAAGTTTCGGCTAGAATTCTCTTGAGAGTAATGGTTTTCCAATGAAAAATATACCACCAGGTGGAATGCTATCTTAGCACATCATATAGTGACTAACATCTATTTCTAAGTTTGCATAAATGACGTCACCAATTAGACAGGAACAAGTGGTTTCAACAGAGGCTAATGCAACACTGAACTCCGAATTGGATCCCAGCATCGGGATTCGAATGTTTCCCTGAATCCTCACTGTGCAGGAAGATTTGCCCCGTGAGTTGGAACGAGGTGTCATGATCAGTTACTTAGCACATGCAAAAATTTTAACAAGCAAGACTCCATCTGCTCAAAACTGGCTTTGTAAATCGAGCTACTCACAGCAGGTAAAAAAGCTGTTTGAACCAACACACGCTAGAAAGTCGAAAAACTCGATATACCTGCTTAACAAAATCTCAAGTCTCTTGGTCACGTGAGCCTTCGTCTGAGAAGTGATCACTTGGAAAATCAGTGAGAACAAGGAAACGCAATAGAGATACGCGCTGTCAAAGAACATGTGACACCATTTTGTGCATAACACATGTTACCACTTGGATAGGAATAAGGAGACAAGAGCTAATAAATTTTCGAGTAGCATACCGCGCACCGACGGCAATAAGAACGAGAAGGCAACAACACATGGATGGGGTAGTGTATCATGGGAGTTTCGGTCAACCGAATTACAGACCACCCACATGTAGCTAACTTAACAATCGATTGGAGTGAACTCATTTTCACGTTTGCCTACCAGACAAGTCGCTTTGACAAAAGTAAAGTCGAGTACATGGTTGGTTGGGATTACAACCACTACGGACAGTTCCACTGTACATAACGCAAAGTTAAAATAACCAACGCCGTCGTGCATGAACCGAATTATTCGAATCATTCTGAAGTTATTATACCTGCACTTCTGACGCGCAGTACACGAATATGGCAACCTGTCTACAACACAAGAACCATCATAGGAAAATCGAATATCAAAGTAAAAAAGTATCACCTGAGAAATCAGAACGTAGCAAGCGCGGGTGCCAGGAGTACGCATCTAAACGATGAAACCTGTATAGCACGTTGCAGGTACGACACACATCACATTGGGTACGGCACATAGTGCTACCCTTGTACATATCATCCATAAGAAAGATCCAGTATCACAACTTATTTCCTGCGAATTCATCTCACACAGTTGTAACTCCAAATTCCATGACTTTCACTCGATCAAACGCAGACCCAATATCAGAATCCAGATTACCAGTTACCTTGAGCCCCGTAGATGGACAGCCTTCACGTGAAATCAACAATATTCTTCAATATTCTTCACTTAAAATCGCATTTCCCGGTATTTTGCAAAAGACCTGTCAAGGGTTCATTGCACATCCATTTGGTATCAACTTTAGGCATTGTATTCGAGTGCATTCTATCAGCCGGGGTCAAATGCTAACTTCGATTTTGTTCCACAGGAAAGCGGAAGTATTTGGGAATTAAGGCATAAATTATTGATGTAACAACTGGACAACCACTTCGACGAAGCTTGGGAATTATGTGAAGAAAGGGTAAACTACTGCAATGACAGAACACAATCAGCGAAGCGAATGGTTCCAGATTTCCTCTCGGGTCTAAATTGACCCGAAGCAGTCACAAGAGTAAGGCCTACTGAGAGCCTTGGTTATCGCACACAGAGCTTTTAGAAACGTTAAGTAGTGTACCGTTTGTAGCTTCCAAAACTAACCAAATCTAAATAAATTTTGCCAAGAAGAAGAAACAACGGACTTTGTGCTCGTGGTACAAGAATTTAAAGCGGGCGATAGTTGCGAGTTGTGAATTTTTCTATCCAGCGCACTCACCGTCGACTCGTCCACATCCAGTCGTTCTGTCATATGAGAACCATTTTCATCATCTCCACATTCGGCATCTGTGTCTTCTTCTTCTTCCTCTTCCTCTTCATTGCCATCCTCCTCTTGTTCCAAGACCTTTGCAAGTTCATGAATTAATAATTTGTACATCTTTACGAGCAGAGGGATCTGAAGGTAGACCTTGGGTTTTGAACCTGACATACGGAAACAAGGCAGGACCACACAGTAGCTACGAGTGGAAAAAAACTGATTTACACTTCTGGAAGAACGACAAAAACAAATTTTAGAAGTTTACATGCAGAAACGTTTCATTAGCAGCATCAGTACTAACCTCCAGCAAACAAGAATCTTCAGGAAAGGCGAGCGCAAACGAAAGTGCCTTAAATATTCAAGTTGAACTCCATTTGTACGACTAAGAAACCATGAGCCCCGAAACAAACATTCAATCCGGTAAATAGTAAATCAGACAATCCAACGACTAAAGACGGTAAAACGACCTATTGCGATCAAACTTGAGCTGCAACAAACAAAGATAGACAACGCACAGGAGAAAACAAAGCAACAAATAGGCTAGCGAAGACAAAGCGACAAGCGTACCTCGGGAGGGACAGAGTGTCATGTAGCGTCATCGACTTCTAACTGATAGACTCATGTAAGCAGGCAAACATGATACAATCACCAGATTCGGCAAACAGCCTGAAATATCCCGATTTTTTGCATGGTCATTCACATTTCGCACTGTGGACGACTGCACCTCCCGGAATTCAAAAAACACTGCAGACTAACTAACGCTGAAAAGCAACCAAACGTGTTGAATCAATACAGTACGCGATGTAGAAGTGGATTTACGTGATTTATGCTCAGGCAATCCGCTCCTTATGATAGAAGCCTGCTTGATTAACGCATCGGTTGCGATGATGCTTCCTGACGATCGAAAGCCAGTCACGTGCAGGAAAGAAATATAGAGTGCTTGGGTCACGATAAACAAACTTAGGCGCTGCTATAACTATCGGGCTACACACTCGTAAGACCGTGGTGTCAGTTTTCGCACTGTCAATGGGTATTTGTGATCTTATTGAGAGCAAAACCCTATTCAGTGCTTTTACCTTTCATGACGCCTATCCACAGTAACTGGGTCACTGTGAGCTGCATTGACCAATTTTAACCCATAAATATGAAGACTTAGCACACGGTGGGACCATATTTTCCTTGACTGTAACTGAGGTTCTTCAGGAGTGACCCATTACCCGGAAATGTGGAGCCATCGTATCACTTGAGTGCATAACTTTGAGTTTACTCAAGACGACCGATGACAGATAACCAACCTTCGCAAACACTGACAACATCAAGACGGAAACTGCACAGCTAAAACAATTTCTATACTTGCCATGGAAATACTTTGGCGTGATTCGTCTAAAATAATGGTCTCTGACTGCTGTATTATGACGTTTGTGGGATACTCAAGAGACACGTGGTCGCCAAAAAGCAGATGCAGTCTTCAATAGTCCTAGTTCGATCATGCAAGGATGATTCGATTCATACATCTAAGTCTCACAACGAAACAACTCCTGGTTGGGCGACACAAAAGCGTCGGACATCCTGCAACTTAGTCCACTTTCGCTTTATTTTGGATCCATTCGTCGCTTGATATGACTGGAATGCCCTTCAACATTCAACAAAGATTGTAGTTTGGAATTGTCATACGTATTTTCGTGGTGTGACTCGAAGAGGGAGTGTAAAAATGGCAGCGTTATGTCCTCTTGAGTCCGCGCTTTCCTAGTACATAGATTCGAAATTATATAATGATCAGATTGAGCTTTAGGTTCAATGTGCGCGATGGAACTATGTGCAATGTTGGATTACAGTGATCCACAAACGCTCAATCCACTATTTGGAACGACCGCAACGATTCTCCGGCCTTGAAAGTCTCTTAGACAGTACACAAACGTGGATGTAACGTCTGATAAACCAAAGACCAGCATAACTGAATTGCAGTGTTTGCGCTGATTATAGTCTTTACGATGAGAACGGCAAACCGAAACTGTGTTCACAAATATTGATTAGGAAGGGAAGCTGCTAGTCTGAATTTCCGCCTTAACAGATGATAACACAATTGGCATAAGAGGATGAAGCATGTATTTTTCACGATCAGAAACCGTAGGAGGTGCTGGTCAAAGTGGTTGAGAGGACAAAACGACTTAAATCATACATGAATGGTACAGAAACAATTATAGGAACCTATATAGTGCCCCTAAATATGCACGCTATACCGACAGACGTTCCTTTATTTCGCGATCGACCCCGACCGGAACGATAGAGAAACACACGGAAGATTGTCGTCCTGGGAGTAGGCATGGGCTTTGAACATATTTCGATTCTAAAGACAGTTCCATCTTCATAACGTAACACCTGCCACTAAAAAGATAACACTTGGTGAGGGGACTTTTCTTGCAGAACCTAGCGGTTAACAGCGTTATAGGAGCATTCACTAATACCACAGACAAAAACGACTGACCTTTTGTGCGCTCGGTAGACTCCGGTAGGACAGCTAGGCTCCAAATGATATTCACCCGAACAATGTTTGTTGTAGTTATTTGTCTGAAATCTTTTCTTCCGTTTTTTAAGGTTCTTGGTCGAATTCTGTGGCTATTTCAATCTACTTTTTTGGACTCCCCTCTATTCGACTCACCGTTAAAAAATCACGGTCCACTGGTAAGATAGATTGCGATGTTACAAATATTGGGAAGACGGAAAACTGCTGAAATACGTTGGATAACCACACCAGCATACTACGAGGTGTTTGCACTACACTATATCGAGCGACAGAAAGTGAACAGCCAAGATAAAAGTTAGTTTGCCCAGGATCAAGTTCTTAACATCACCAACCAAGAGAGGGTATGGATTGCTCTTAGGTCATGGAGTTGGTTGATACACATCCATCAAGGTGATAGACACTCGTTTGTCCCATAACCTGCTCTACGACAAGATGACAGAAATGAAGCGACCCCTCCATTCCAACGGAAACGAAAAATCAATGGAGAAAAATGCATTTTCTATATCAAGGAACTTAAGCATAATCATGGTCGATTATCCTGCAATTTGCACATGGTACAAGTCTGGCTTTGTTCAGAAGTTCAAACGTGCTTTGTGCAACAGGTGGGTTAGTGAGCACCACACTGCCACTACCACCAACGCTGCCATATTTGACTGCAAGCCCCTGTAAGATCCATTTACCAAAGAAACGTTAATTTTCAAAGCATAACTAAGTTCAGATATTAAAACCAGTAAAAATGGAATATCCTATGCAGTTAGACCGGCGTACATTAGGCGAGAGTTGCATTTTCATGAGAAAGATTAAAGCGGTCTCGGAGTACCAGAACAAATCTGGAGAAGAAACATAAATCAACTGATATCATGGGACTTCAGCTTTCATGGGATTCTTACCACGATTGAAGAAAAGAAGGAAGTAGAACTAGGAAAGGCCAGTATAAAGCTTACAAGAACGGCGACGACGTGGACACAGTAGAAGCGTTCAGAACATTGACAAATAAACACAGCACAAGGCGATCACCAGAAAATAGAGATTTGATTTTAAAGGACTAATCGAGAACACAATATCCAAAAAAGACTGCTGCTGAGTGGTTGAAAAAGCTGCGTTAAGCTTCGCTCTTCATGCCACTCACCGCCGCTTCCGATAAAAGTTAGCCAACATTAATCTTTGCGCGCACAGCTACATTTCTAGGTTGTCGAGCTTCTTTGCTCCCACTCGGAGCTAAATCGATTGTCTCGTTCAGTCTGTCAACAGGGCATGATCACAAACAACTAACATGAATGAAAACTGACGTGGGCGTCTCAGCTAACAGATGCGAGTTTAAAAAAAGCCTATCAACAGTTTGCTCGCCAAGGCGGATTCAAGACGGAAATATAATGAAAGACAGTCAGAAAAGCTGTATCCCGGGCGAACATACTTTGTTTATTCCGTGTCCTCGCTGCCACGTTGTTGGACGAACCGTCATCAATTTCTTCGCCAGTGGTAGTGATCTGCATGAGGCGAGCGTCGCCTGATTTGATTGCGTGTAACAACAAATTCGACAAGGCCAGGACGCTACAGGAGAAAATTCACTGGATGAACTAGAGACCAAACCATTCATTCTGTAGACAGAAACCTGGTGACGGACATTCAAATATAGATACGAACGATGTGTGCGCTACGAATTTGGGTAGAAGTTGCAACAAGCGGTTCGGGAAACGATCAAAAGTACAAAGCGTATTTCCTGAGTTTGGCTGACAGACACGACCGACGACTGAAGTACACCGTAGTGATCCTCTCCCCACATTTGGTCAAGCTAAATAAGAAATGCACTCGTAAAGCTTGGATCATTCACCGGTCAACTCAAAGTGAATACTAAAAATTAAACGATTCAGATAAAATACAGCTCATCTGAAGTACTGAATATGAGGAAGATAGCTGGTAAAAACCGTCATGATGAAGCCGTGGGAATCAACGAATTGGAGTCGAAACGACAATGGTACACAAGAAGTAGATGGTGGTGAGAATGCAACTACATGATAAGGTTCAGCAGTTGGTAGTGAGCAACCGCTGTTGCACAATAAGCTAAGCAGCCGTACTGAGAGGTCGACCCACAAGAAGCATTAAATACCCTTCTACAGAGGAGGAGTTACATATCGTACACAGCTTTAGTTGGGTACGAATGTGTGAGAGGACAGGAAGGCACATGAACACAGAAAGGAGCTATCCATCCTAGAGGAACATTTGTGGAGGCAACCATTCAGGTCAGCTGACAAAGAAGCCGAACTACAACCAGACGGTAGAGTGACTGATACAAATAAATACGTTCGATAAGCTATAGGGTAGGATAAAACGAGTCAGATATTGGAACAAACCATAGTAACGTTAATCACATATATTTTCTTTAGAGGTTACCGTATAGACAGCAAATGTATTTGCAAACTGGATGTATGAAGACACTTTTCACTGAAAACTATCTATCAAACATGCTTCTCTATACTGACTATGGACCCGAATCCTTAAAAGCTGGTCTGGACCCAACCAACAAACGACTCCCATACTTCACTAAAAAAGCTATATCGCAGATGCCCCCGTGAGGTTGTTACTTTTCCAATCCATTTGTATGCTCGTGCCGAGCATCATATGTTGGTCGTACGACAAGGCATTTGTCGGACGGAATCCGAGAAGACAATCCCGTATCTTTGAGTGGTAGTGGGAAGAAACCAGGCTCAAGCGCGATTGCATCACATTTGGCCGAAACCAGTCATGCCACAGACAATGAGTAAGCCTTCACCATCATATACCGAGTACCTCTGAACCGACTACGACTGGTACGATCCAGACTACTATCGATCGCAGAGGCGATTGGAATCCGACTGCCGGATCCGCCACTTTGCATCCCAAAGAAACTTGTGCAACCTCTGAACTTGAACTGGCCTACGAAACGTCCGGTCCCAGAAGTCTGTCTGCCATTGACGTCACTTACCTGATTCCGTGACCCATTGACCTATTCCTCATCCAAGCCCCCTTCCTTTGATTTCTATTTCTCTAAAGTGTATATAGCCCCGATCTTAACCTTTTCCACGTGATTTCTGCTACCACATAAATTTGTGATGTATTAGCCAAGAGGAACAATCACAGAAAACAAGCTTTGTTCGCTACCTTCTTCGTTCTCATGACTTTTCCGATCATCACTGGTATCAATATCCGAGTTGAAGACTGGCACTTCTCTACTATATTCCAAACAAGAGTGATGCAGACACGCAGCAAGCAAACACCGCAACTACATGAAGCGTTTATTTTGTTCATGGTGCAGACCACGAAAAATGGTGTCATTCACAGGCGGTTTTGCACAAACAACTGATGAGTGTATGACGGAATATACAACGACCACAGACAGTCACAACCAAGGCGAGGAAACAGCCGTTTGAGTTGTGCGATAAGCGTGGATTCATTGAAACTAGAGGTATTCGCACTATTGTAGTTCCTCGAAGCCACGAGTCTCAATTCACCTAGGGTGAGAGCCCTAGAAATGGACTACAATAAACGACCTCCCGCTTCCCTGGATGGCTACTGTGCCCAGCACGTTTGCTGTCACAGATTTGCATTCCACAGGATATTTAACATACCTTTTCTAACAAACTGACAGGTAATATTCACTGAATGAGATTAGCAAGGTCTCGTGTGACTTCTACAATGGGCCATATGTTAAAATTGCCGTTTTCAGTCATTTCCTTGATAAAGGTCACCGACAGGTTGGACCAAATGTTTAACACCCAATCTGAATCGCTGTTACATATAAAGTTGGCACGCAAACCATGAATAACGAGCAAACGGTGCTCAAGCTGTTCGCTTTGGTTTCGTAGAGTCGTTGAATGCAGACCCGAGCGTGAAGTTTCACAATGACCTACGCCCTGTAAATGGTCATTTTCAAAAGTAGCTAGCACTGCTAATCCGAACAGTGTACACCAAGGAAAAGCGTCAGAAACACGCAATGACGAGACCCACTCGGGCATACATCAGTCGACGGGAAACACATAACTGTGCCGGAGTAATTAATGACAATGCGCTGCCCATGATGGATAACCGGAATCCAACCTTTGATTCAGACATATCCAGTGATCTATTCTGTATACGCTGGCTTGTGCACAAAGGTAAACCTAGTTAAGAAACACACAGAAATCTTCCGGGCGCAGGTTATGACAGAGCACTGCTTCGCCATAAATCGTCTGATGTTTATCATCATAAGCATCTTATCCAGACCACGTACAATTTCCTCATTGATTTTTATACACAGAGTGGTGTGAAGAGAGAGAGAGAGAGAGAGAGAGAGAGAGAGAAAGTAATCCGTCGTTGATTATTCAGAGCTAGTTTCTTCAGAAGTGATATGTAGATTGAGGTATTTTTTTAATATCTTAACTGTGTTTCATGGGAAAAGCTGGTAGGATCTGGAAAAACACAGTCCAACTATTTTGATTTCAGTTTCGAAAAGTTCACGGCGAGATTTCCCACCGAAAACACATCTAGCGATTTTGATACACTTATACTTTACCTCCTTCGACGTAGGTGTAGTTCTTTAAAACGACCAGCTGTCTGGTAACAAACGATGAGAAATCTTGACTGTGGTGAGCAGCATTTGAAGTTCTGTCTCGCATATCAACTTCATTAATGGGTTACATGTGATGGTAAATCAGGCCAAAATGGCACGCGAAATGTGATCTGCCATACGCGGTCGCATAGTTAACATGAACAGAGAAAGCCGTTATGTGCACCTGAGTGTGGATCGAGCGCTATACGCTGCTGCATTCCGATTCGGCTCCCGAGGTTAATGGAATTGACAAAATACAGAGCAATCCGAACGCAAAACTACCCGTTCATTAAAACCTGGACTACTGTAAATATCCATCACTTGTCAATCGACTGTAGTGGCACATGGGATAGATATTGGTATTGGGATAGACATTGGGATAGGTATTGACACAACTACGCTACCGATGACATCAAGTTACCTCATTGCATACCGACCCATATTTTTTGGTAATGACGGTTATCTTAAAACCACTAGCCAAATGGACCGTTCACCGAATAAGACACGCGGTCAAACACCAACAAGCATATGGAGTTCCCTGATCGTAAGACTTTGAGTTGCCATCATACTGTGTCCAACGTGGCCGACTCTCTGGAAACATAATGCCACCTCCCCAGGCCAGACAGCATGTACATACAAATTAAGATCTTTGATGCGGGCCCAAGTAGATTTAACGTAAGCTTCAATCGAGCGTACAACCAACGGGTACGTTTTGTCAGATCATTTCAGGAAAACTAGCCAATATGGTGTAAAGTTAAGCTGAGTCGTCAAAAGTGTGAAAAATGACAGCCGGATTGTCTGGCAGTGGAGCGACACTGCGGACTGCATCGACGCTCTTCAGATGAACCGAGCCAACGGACTTGCAATCATCTCACTCCATCATGTGTAGTGATCTGTACGCAGTTACAGCATTCGGTCCAGAAGATTAACACTCACTCTCACTTGCGTAGGGACAAGGAAAATCGACTGCTTGTTTGTTGGAACAAGGGGAATCGAAATACAAAGATTCCCTGAATCGGAGTACGTGACAAAGAGGGAAAGTGCGAGAGGCGATAACTCAAAGAGCTCCGAGCTGAAGACGACACATTTAATTTGTACATTCAAGCTCAAAGGACAAACGAATATGGCTTTGGGGGTTGACAAGGCAGACAACTATACTATATTATATCGTACCACTTAGATGTTCTCTCTGAACGAGCTAGTGCGGTCACGCTATACGACCAAAGATCGGTGATGTATATACATCCAGGAACCTTGTCACAATCTGGGTTTAATGTCTGGCATGATAAGGTAGGGTAGTCAACTAAGCTCCACAACGGCGCATATGCTCAAACACTCAAAAGAACGTGAATGCGAATGGTTGAACAATCACTTGGGAATTAAGGCAACTAATTAGGCTTAGTGATTCCCAGAAAAGAACATTTCGCATTTGGATCCTCCAGTTGGTGGGGAAAGAACTGTGCTTATTACCGTCCAGCCAGAACTACTGGATCACCTCAGAAACTGTCACTGTTGGTAAGATTTCCATCCATCAAATAAAACTTTTTTCAATGCACCGGATAATGTTCAGGTTTTGAGGAGAACTTCGTCCCGTACTACAAACCAACCAGTCCGAAAAGGACACAGAATCGTGCATGCGTTGAACCTGCCCATAGACTACAGGCTCGACTAACATTACTTTAGAACCCAATTGACTGCACACACTACACCGACAGGAATGCAGATAAAGGATCCGAAAGAGTTTCTCCAAGAGAGAGAGAGAGCACTTGCGAAGGTTCGGGACCTGTGGAAGCATTTTTTCGACATTCAAGTAGTACCACTGTTCTAACAGATATCCTGTGTTTGATTGAAGCTGCGTGTTTCGTGTAATAGGATAAACTTACGATACTGTATAGTGTAGCGCTCTCTTCCAACTGCGAATTGACATTCGACAACTGAACAGTTGGATGAGAGTCAAGGAGACGATTCGGATAAATTTAATTCAGTT